AAAAAACTAAACACCACACTATGAACTGCCTATGAATTCCATGCATATATCGGAATTCTCACTTATCTTAATTAAATCTAAGAGTTATCAAAATAGAAAATATTTTTTACATGTCATTTTTTAATTTGTCTAATTCTTCACTCATTCCCTCTGCTGAGCTCCTCCTTACAAGGTATGAGTATGTGCTGGAAGAGGCAAAAAAAATTCTCAGCAAGCCCGAAAGAGCTGGCGGCCTGCTGAATAGCCTACTCCAGGCCCGAGCCTCTCCTGGGACGGCAAAGGGGCCCTCTTGGGGAGAATACCCGGCTCTGTACCTCAAAAAGAGAAAGCAAGCCAAGAGATATTGGAGGGAAGTTTAGAATTTCTTGGGGCAAAGTGTGATTTTGAAAAGATGCTGAGTAAATAAGCCACATGTTGAGGAGAAAGATACTCATCATGATAGTGAACAAAGGTCTCTCAGAGTTCTGATTTATCATAACAAGGAATCAAAATACTTCTTCCACACTGACTTTTCCCAAGCATTTCCACAAACAGCTTTATCTCAGAAGTGCCAGGAGAGATGGCCTGCCCCCTTTGTTAGGAAGCACTCAGAGGCCAGGGGAAGGTAGGGGCTCCAGGTGGTGATGAGGTAGCCAGCTGACTGCCCAATCTCTTGTCCCTGATGCGAGGGGCTCCCAACGAGATTTCCCAGGAAACTATATACTAGGCTATGAGAGCCAAACTTCTTTATGCTTTTTCATCCATCTAACATAGACCAGGATTAACAGAGAGGGGGAAAAATAAAAGGTTCTGGGAAGAAATAAGCCTCAGTTTTTCTGCAGAGAGGCCCCCAGGGGACCTCTGGACACTGGGATCATGATGGGCTTGGGACCAAAGGGCCAGTTAGAGGACAAGCACAGGAGAGCCCCCCTAGACCCAGGACTCAAACAGAGACTTAAGGAGCCCCATCCCTCCTCAGCCTCCAAAATGAAAGGAACAAAGAAGCAACTAGGTGGGAGGTCTGAGTTCAGCTGCCATGAAGGAAGCTACCAGCTCTGGCAGGGAATACAGGGCCAGTCACCTGTATGGCTGAGCTTCAAGCAACTATATTCTCAGCCGTTGTGGAAATTTCCACATCAGCACTTAATTTACTAATAGGTGGAACCACCCAAGCACCTGTCATCACACATATGTACACACATACATATGTGAGTGTGTATGCATATGTGTATAACCAACATAATGGGATTTGCAGGCTGGCGCAAGGGTCAGGCAACTTCCAGGCCTTTCGGGTCGGCGCCCAGGAACACTCAGCAGGCCCCTCTTTCCACTTGGTGTCTTGGACTCAGCATCAGGAATGACCATCTGGTCCGCTCAGAAATGAGACACTCTCAGAGGCTCCCATGGGCCAGCCACTGGGATTGATGCCCTTTCAGGCTCCGCCAACCCCCCATGTGCTCAGCAGCCAAGTTCCTCACTGAGGGTTTTATGAGAAGATGACTCAAACCATGTCAACGTACAGACACTGCCAATCTTACACATCAGCCATAAATGGGAAAGGACACACTGTGCACATGAAACAAAGAGCAGTTACAAGGACACATGATGGGGTTGGGGCCTGCTTCCTGTCGTCCTAATTAATGGCTCATCGGAACTTGTTGAGGCTTCCTAGGTACCCACTCCTCAAACAAGCACAGTGGTTGTGCCTGATCTTTGCCTTTCAATAATGTCCTTACACGATACAAACAAGCGACTCCGAGAAAAAGAGTCAGCTCCTTACAGGTGGCTCTGAGATCACAGAGCCCAACACCCTTTCTGGAGCAGGGAGGTTAGCCCTGGAGACAGAGCCAGGGGCTGCACAGGAGTAACTGTGCCAATGAAGAGCTGCCTGTCCCCATCAGTACACGTGAAAATACACGATGATAAACACAGAAATCTGCTGAAGGCAATTCAACAGGGACAGAGAGGCAAGTTCTTGGCAAGTGCAAATAACTGTCGCCTCAAAGGGACACTCATTAGCTATCCTCCCATGTGTTCCACTGGAAGGGGAGAAGAGTAAGTTGACACCGTGCAAAAATCAGGAATTACTGCAGCAAAACAGAGCAAATGCAGAGACAAAGAAAAGGAGACCAACCAGCCACTTAATGGAAAGGATAAGACAACCAGCTGATGCTGTGAATGGGTGTGAATATTACCTGTGAGCAGCATGTGGAGATTTAAGTGGCTCTTACTTCAGACCAGTACACTGTACACGGACCTTGGAAAAAGCAAACACAGAGTAAACCATATACTGGGGGCTGGCTGGTGGCAAGGAAAACGCGAAGCGACCCTTCCTCATTAGGAAAGGCAGTAACTATCTGGATTGATACTAAATATACCCTGGTTAGTGAGACAGCTCAAGAGACACTTGCAAATCAAAGGACTAGGTTTCTTTGACAGACCATACCTGAAGGAAACAGGAGATTCAGAATTAAAAACTGGTACAAAGGTTGGTGTTCAGTATGTTTTATCTTTAAATGGCCTAAGACAGCAGCAGACTATTCCAAAGTTTCTAAATTTCACAAAGTGCATTCTAAGTTTCAATGTTGTCACTGCCAAGATGCTCACCTGGACAGTTCAGATCCGCCCCCTTGTTCTGAGTGACTGCTCAGTATACGTAAACCCTACAACCGGCAGCCTTCCTGTGGCTTCCACCCACCCACAGTGAATCCACCTGACTCTCAGGCAGGTGCTACCGTCACCCCACTGTAGACATGAAGCTGGGGTGGCCGAGACTGATGACAGTGGGTGACTGGTGGGCCAGTTGTGCACCCCGCCAGCAGGTTGCAGAGTCCATGCCCTAGCCTCCCTCCCAGGAAATACAGAGTCCCACAATTAACCTGCGGATAGAGAAATGTCTATCTGTATGTTACATGGAGCATTCCGAATGATGTGGAATTTTTGTTTGGGGAGCGGAGAGAACCACTCTAATGCTAGGATATTCAGCAAGACCAGCAATAGTAATCTCAATGAAAATTCACAACATGATGCCAAATTCTAACAAACTACCCACAATAACGATGAATAAAACCATGGTTAAACTCGGTTCTCTCTGTGAAACTTTCCATTTACTTGGCCATTTTCCCATGGACGTTCAATTAAAAACAACTGTGAGAAAGTGAGCCACCGTGAGCACTGCACAACCAGGCAAGGACACAAGCCTCTGCTAGCCCAGAAGCCTTTTAGCATTTATTCACATTGTACCCAAGTCAGAGCCAGCAGCCCTAGGAGGAGACCTGCACTGTAATTTCTGATCCAAATTGACTTTAATAAATAATTCTGATGACACCAAAATCAACAAGCAAGAAAAGAAAAACTAGATAAACTATACTTCATCAAACCTAACAACTTTTGTGCTTCAAATGTCACCATCCAGGAAATGAAAAGACAATCCACAGAATGGGACAGAATACTTGCAAATCACAGATCTGATAGAAGAGTTGTATCTAGAATATAGAAAGAACCCTTCCAACACAATAATAAAAAGGCAAATAACCCAATTTGAAAATGTTAGGCAAAAGATTTGAATAGACATCTTGCCAAAAATAAAAATACAAATAGTCAACAAGCCCATTAAAGACTTATTGTGCTACGGGGATGATAAAAACTGAACTCTCTCTTTCTGATGGATTGGTGGAGAAGTGTATACATTCTGAGTAGAAAAAAAAAAAAGAAAAATAAAAAAAAAATAAAGACTTACTGTGGTGATTACTTTGTAAGGTATATAAACAATGAATCACTATGTCATACTCCTGAAACTAACATAATAATGTATGTAAAAATAAATTAATTTTTTTAAACTGCAAGCAAAGAGAGAAGGGGAGAGAGGTCCTGTATGAACCTCAGTTGACCCTTGAATAACCAGGAAAATACTGAAGCAATATTGATACAACTGAAGTTTTAAACAATAACTACTTGACAGCATTAAAGTGTCAACATTTCAGTTGTGATAATGGTATCTTTTAGACATATGTAAGACAGCAGGAATCACGTGCACACACCAGTGAGGAAGAAGGCCCAGACTGGCCCTGGTTGGGTGTGGCTGAAGTTGAGGATGGCCACCTGGTCATTCCTGATTCTGTCTTCTTTTGCTTTTGTGTTAGAAAATTTTTATAGTAAAAAATGGAAAGCTACCTCATGACAGGGCTGGATTTGGACTCTGGGGTTACTCTGTCCATGTGGTGGCTACTCTGTTGGTGTTTACTGGCTGTCTGCAGGTTGCTTGCCGTTCTGGAAGGCCACAATCTACTCAGAGACACTTCGGAAGACTTCACCCGCACTAAGTTTCTCTGATCCCCTAGAGCAGCTGCACCTACACACAATTCTGATCTCTGCCAAAGTGCCCTGGAGTTCTGCCTTGTTTCCAGGGCAAAGGTAGGGGTTCACTGAGAGAAGATGACATTGGGAAGGTGAGGGCAATGTCCTCCTAAGATGCAACCATAGCTGTCATTAGCCAAGTAACTAGGATATCAGCTACAATTTAAACTACAATAATACCTTAAGTTACTTTAAAAATAAAAACTTAACTTGCCTACTTCAAACAAAGCAAACACTCAACTGGTGATGCCACAGGAATCTCTGGGATTCCTCTGGCACGGCTCCTGGGACCACATGGAGGATACACCTTGACCGGGGAAAGGCTCACAGTCTCTGAGGCATCTGCTTGAACAAACTGTGTTGCAGGCAGCCTCCCCAGGCTTGCCCGTCCCACTCTGGAAACGTCCTTCCTATCAGGTCTCTGGGATATCATGGGGGCAGGGAGCAGTGACACGCCTTTTCAGTGAGTCTGTCTTACAAGGGAATCTGTCTTACAAGGAACCTTTTCAAAGAGCCACGTCCTAGGACGATTCTGTGAAAGGTCAGAGGAGACAGCTGCAAACACTCCCGTGACTGAAAGCATCCCTCACCCAGGACAGAGTGGAGGAAGCCGGCAGAGAGAGAGAGAGAGAGAGAGAGAGAGAGAGAGAGAGAGCCATAATTACCACTGCGGCTTGGCGGGAATGGCAGGGATGGCGGGGGCGAAGCCGGCGGAAGCCTGCAGCCTGGACCACCGGGGTGAGCGGCCGGCCCTCTGTGGCTGTCCCTGGCGAGTGTCCCCATGCTGGACGCCAGGCTGCCAGCAAAGCCTCACTCACTGCTGCTTTCTTCACATGTGGTTTGATTGACGCAAATCAAGAGGCAAGCAAGTGATTCATCACTGTCCCAGCACCGCTCCCACAGAAATGGCAGAGCCCAAGCTTGCTGAGTCACCGGAGAACGTTCCCCTCGCTCTGGAGGCGCTGCTGGTCTGAACTTCCACACGCAGACACACGTTTGAGCTCCTAAGTGCGGCAACGCTGGCAGGGCCACAGCATAAAGAAATACCGGACACTAGTCCTGCCAACCAGCAACAGGATAGGGGGAAAGGGGGACCTGAGTGAAGAGGCAGTGGCAGTGACCACTAGCCCTGTGCCTGCTCAGCTGGTGCGTGCATACATGCGCTGGGGACACTGGGCGTGGGTCCCTTATACACCAGCTCCAACCTCAGTCATTGGTCCTACTTCTAGTACCTCAGTGTCATGCACACCAGGATCCCTGCCTTCTAGGAGCCCATGGGGAGGTGACAAGATGAGGGGTCCCAGAAATCCCCCCATGGTGCCTAGTTCCACCCCAAGGGACAAGGAAGACACAGCCCCCCATTGCCTGCCTCAGTTGGAAAAGCGTCCCAGAGGAGGTGAGCAGAACT